TACTCGTTATTCTGGAGGTCCAATCCAGTGCTGTCAGCCTACCTGGTGATTTTCTAAGCTGTATCAAACCATTTCTGCCTGTTGGATTAGATGTGCATATCAGGGCAACAGGGATGTGCAGTCAGACATCTCAGAATTCTGATATTTGTGTAGGTTCTTTTCCCTCTGTAGGACTTCGCTTCCTTCAACTTCACAACTTCTCTCAGTTTTTATGGATCTGGAATTTGGAGAAGGCTTGGTTGCATAGTTCTCATTCAAGGTCTGTTACATATGCGCACTCTGATGGTGGCTGAAGTTGAAATAGCACAAGAATGGAGCTTCTTTTTGTATCACCAGGGCCTCCCTGTATAGTCTTCCTGCATGGAATAGTTTGGGCTTCTTCACAGCTTGGTGGCTTTAGTCGTCAAATTGTTCACATGATGGCTGAAGATTTCAAAAGCAAATATTCTCAATTTGGCTCTTTTTTATCATTTTTTACTCCATATGTCTATGTTGCTTAGTGCTCAGCCACTGATTCCACAGATTTTTCTAAATACCTGAAGGCAATAAGGCCTTACTTGGTCTTCTGTTGAATCTGTGTGTTGATAGGAAAGCATATTTAAAATTCAGGCCACTTTGAAGTTTGTCCTGTCTTTTATTTCCCCCTGGGCCATTTTGCATCTCTTTGAAGTGTTCATAGCCTTATAATGGGCCAGGAGTGTATCTAACATGGGCCCTCTCACAGTCTCAGCCAGGGACATGCTTATCCCAACCATGACTACCGCTTCAGGTCAGTAGAGCCCTTGGCTCTTCCTGCCTCTGAGATCACCACTTCCACCAACTGCATGTATTGCAGCATAGAGGCCTCACCCACCATTTAGAACACAAGTGGTATTGCCCTTCCCTGGGGAAGTTATTGGTTCTCTTCCTGCTCCTCTCTGGCAGGACCTCTGCCCCTACTGAGTGCATGAGGAAATGAGAGCAGCCCTGAGGGAAAGAAACCCACAGATCCCCACTGTTCTTACCCAAAGTACAACAGTTTTGGCTTTTTTTTTTTTTTTTTTAAGTTTTAGTTAGACACAATACCTTTATTTTTTTATTTTTTATAATTGTTCTTTTTTTTTTTTTTTTTTTTTTAGAGAGAGAGATATATCCCCCCGCGGACACACCATCTTTGTTTGTATGTGGTGCTGAGGATCGGACCGGGGCCGCACGCATGCCAGGCGAGCGCGCTACCACTTGAGCCATATCCCAGCCCCTTTATTTTATTTATTTTATTTTTTTATGTTGTGATGAGGATTGAACCCAGGGCCTCGCACTTGCTAGGTGAGCGCTCTACCACTGAGCCACAATCCACTCAAAGTTCAACAGTTTTTTCTTGTTGTTTGTTATGGGGGATGGAACCTGGGGGCACTCTACCACTGAGCTACATCCCCAGCCCTTTTTATTTTTTATTTTGAGACAGAGGACAGAGTCTTGCTAATGTTGCCAAGACTGACCTCAAACTTGTGAACTCCTGCCTCAGCCTCCCATATGGCTGGGACTACAGGTATGCACCACCACACCCAGCAGAGTAATCTTTTCAAAATATAAACTGCCCAGGGCTTGTTGCCTCTCATTACACAAAGAATAAAATCTGAAGTTCATACTGCAAATTATGAGGTCTTACATTCATTCAGCATCATCTAGTAGGCTTCATGTTGCCTCTCCAACTTTTTCTCCTACCACTCTTCTTTTACCACACTGGCCTTCTCTCCATTCCTTGAACATGCCACTTATCCCAGCCTCAGAAAGTGACTCAGGCAGGAACGTTCTTTTCCCCTACATCTTCTTGTGGCTGACACTTTCCTATGAGTCTTCACTAACTATCCTGCCCCCATCATTTTCTACCAATTTACTTTGTTTCCATAGCATTTCTCATTCTCTATCATTATCTTGCTTATTTATTTACTCTTTACCTTATGTGCTTTATTTATTGTCGTGGCCCCAGCACTAAATCCAGTGCTGGCATGGGCACGGCACTCTGAATACATAATGTGTGCATCATACAAGTGTACTCTCAGGCCAAAGAGTGGGTTCCAGCACAGAGTGTATTCATTTAGTAGGTATTAACCAAGTCCCTGCTTGTGGGTACAGTATTGTACTAAATAGTGGGGATACAGAGTCATAAATGGTGTGCCCCTTCCCTGTGTAGTCTATGGGAGTCAGATTCTGAATGTCCTCAAAAGGAGACCTATCTCCTTTAACAAAACAAAGTCTGGGGCTGGAGGTGTAGAGCAATGTTAGGGCACTTGCCTAGTGTGCCCAAGGTCCTGGTAGGATTCCCCAGCACCCTGTGGGTAGGGAGCAGGATCCAGAATCTCCAGGTGAGGAGGTGGTGGCTGGACTCTGACCCCTGTCTCATCTTTCCATTCTGTGGAGCTTCTTGCCTCTTTTAAAAAGCTGTGGCTCAGGCCATGTGCCATGGTGCATGCTTATAATCTTAGCAACTCAGAAGGTGAGACAAGAGGATCCTAAGTTCTAGGTCAGCAATTTAGTGAGGCCCTAAGCAACTTGATGAGAACCTGTCTCTAAATCAAATATAAAATAGGGCTGGGGATGTGGCTCAGTGGTCAAGTGCCCCTGAGTTCAATCCCTGGTATCAAAAAAAAAAAAAAAGAGAGAGAGAGCTGGGGATGTAGCTTAGTAGTAAAGTACCCTCGTGTTAAATCCCCAGCATCAAAAAAATAAAATACTCTGGCCCAGCAGTCTTCACAGACACAGCCAACCTTGGTTTCTCTGAACACAGCAAGGCAGGCAAAGTCTTTCACAAAAATTTACCAAACACTCTAGGAGAAAAATGTGGTAATAGAATTGTAATGCAAAAAAAAAAAAAAAGTATAAAGACATTATGTGTATGGTGTGAACATACTTTATATACAGAGATATGAAAAATTGTGCTCTATATGTGTAATGCATTCCACTGCTGTCATGTATTTAAAAAAGATTTTAAAAATCGCACACTAAAAAAAAAAAAGAAAGAAAAAGAAAAATGTGGTAATAAACAAGAGATCCTACAGGACCGAAATATAGCCAGACAAACCTTTCTGCCCTAAAAGATGAGCATAGTTAAGCCTTTGATCTAATGGCTTAGAGAGAGAGGCATGTTAGATGTTCTCCACCAAGAACCTTCCTCCTGGGCATCTTTTTTTTTTTTTTTTTTACCAGGGATTGTAACCACTTAGCCACTTTCCTATCTCTTTTTATTTTGAGACAGGGTCTTGCTAAGTTGCTTAGGGTCTCACTAAGTTACTGAGGCTGGCTTTGAACTTGCCATCCTCCTGCCTCAGCCTCCTGAGTTACTGAGATTACAGACATGTGCCACCATGCCTGGCTTCTTCTCCTGGGCATCTTGACCACTTTTTGGAACTGGGAGAAAAGAAGCATGGGCTTGTTCTTCCCTCCTAGTTTTCTGGACTTGGCCTCTACTTCTTGTTATTAATGCTATGGTGGAATTCACATCTTGAGTGTGATGGCTCCCTTCTCATAGAGGCAAGTTCTCCATGCCTAACAATTAAGCACAAGCTAAAACCATGTTTCCTACAGTATCGAACTTTTGTGATATGTTAGGTGATTTTAGATGTTTCAAAGTCAGATCCAGAACAGTGAGATAATAATTCCCTTTTCAATTCTCCTGATTCTATCTGGTAGTAAGCCTCAGTTAGGTACTACCATGCCTTTTTTCTTTTTTTGGTACTAGAGATTGAAACCAGGGTTTCATGCATGCTAGGCAAGTGCTCAACCACTGATCTACATCCCCAGCCATTTTTATTTTTATTTTAAGACAGGGTCTCGGGCTGGGATTGTGGCTCAGTGGTAGAGTGCTTTCCTAGCATGTGCAAGGCCCTGGGTTCGATCCTAAGCACCACATAAAAATAAAAAAATAAAGGTATTGTGTCCAGCTACACCTAACAAATAAATATTAAAAAAAAAAAAAAAGACAGGGTCTCAACTGCTAAAGCTAGCCTCAAGCTTTTGAATCCTCTTGCCTCAGACTCCTGAGTTGCTAGGATTACAGGCAAATACCACCATGCCTAGCTATAAAGATTCCTTTTTTTAAAAAAACTTTTTTTTTTTTTAGTTACACATGGACACAATACACTTATTTGTTTATTTATTTTTATGTAGTGCTGAGGATTGAACCCAGTGCCTCACATGTGTGAGGCGAGCGCTCTGCCACTGAACCACAACCCCAGTCCTAAAGATTCATTTTAAAGAGAAGTTACTAAGGGGGCTGGGGTTGTGGCTCAATGGTAGAGTGCTTACCTAGCATGTGCAAACCACTGGGTTCAATCCTCAGCACCACAAAAATAAATAAATAAAGGAAGGAAGGAGGGAGGGAGGGAAAGAAGGAAGGAAGGAAGGTGGGTGGGTGTTGTGTTCATCTACAACTAAAAAATATTTTTTTAAAAAAAAGTTACTTAGTAGGGGCTGGGATTGTGGCTCAGCGGTGGAGCGCTTGCCTAGCATGGGCGGGACCCGGGTTCGATCCTTAGCACCACATAAAAATAAAGGCATTGTGTTGTGTCCATCTATACCTAAAAAAAAATAAATAAATATTTTTTTAAAAAGTTACTTAGTAAAGAAGGTTTGTATTTATAAAATTATAAAATAAGTAATAATGCAGATGGTGTGAGATGATAGCATAATAACTACATCATAACTGTAGTAGGTGGTAGTAACTAACAACTTTGTATGTATTAGTATGACATTCTATTACTTAGTGCATGTGTTTAAGACAGGGTTGAAAGACAGTGCTGTTGGGGCTGGGCTTGTAGCTCAGTGGTAGAGTGTGTGCCTAGCAAGTGTGAGGCACTGGGTTCAATCCTCAGCACCACATAAAAGTAAATAAATAAAAGGTATTATACTTTATATATATATATTTTTATATATACTTTATATATATATATATTTTTTTTTTTTTTGACAGTGCTATTGCGGTCATACTTGTCAACTCAGATTTTTTCTTTTCCCCTCTGTAGTGGAACACATGATCCAGAAGAACCAATGCCTCTTCACTAATACCCAGTGTAAAGTTTGCTGCGCCTTGCTGATTTCTGAATCCCAGAAGCTGGCACATTACCAGGTACCTTTTCCATTGAACATTTAGCACTACTTCACTTCTTTGATCCAGTGCCAAACCCTCACTTCTCCCTGGCGTGCACCGTGAAATGTAATTCTTAGCGCTCAGGCTTTATGTTCATGCATGTTGGCTTGTGACCTGTAGATTGAGGTGATTTCTCTGAGTCTCATCTCTCCCATTCAAATCAGGATCATTATAGTGTGTCTTCCCTTTCAACTTAGTAGAGTAGAAAGCAGAAACTATGAGTTCGAATTTTAGCTCTGCTACTCATCTTGGGCAAGAAACTTCACCATCTTTAGCCTCAGTTTCTTCATGCATGAGGAGATGATAATTTTCTCATTGATTATTGTGAAAACTAAATTTTTATTTATTTAGTTAGTTGTTGATAGACCTTTATTTTATTTTATTTTTTGGGTGTTGCTGGGGATTGAACCCAGAACCTTGTGCATGCAAGGCAAGCACTCTATTGACTGAGCTATATCCCCAGCCCCAATGGGCCTTTATTTTATTTATTTATGTGCAGTACTGAGAACTGAACCTAGTGCCTCACACATGCCAGGCAAGTGCACTACCACTGAACCACAGCCCTAGCCCCAGAAAATTAAATTTGATAGCATGTAAAGTGCCTCTCACAGAGTGGGGACTCGTTAAACTAAGTTTCTTCCCCCACACTCTGCACCTCAAAAGTTTTTGTGAAGATGAATCAGATGAAAATCTAGTCTTTAATGCCTTCAATATGAAATGGCAGTTGGCTATCTTTGATCTTTTTCCTGGGTTCTTGCAGAGCAAAAAACATGCCAACAAAGTGAAGAGATACCTAGCAATCCATGGATTGGAGACATTAAAGGGGGAAATGAAGAGACTAGACTCAGATCAGGTAATACAGCTGCCATGTTGAGACCTCTCACTTCCTGATGAAGCCAGCACACAGGTTGGTGTGGTGAAAGAGCCTGGACTTTGAGTCAGTCTAACTCGGCTACAAATCCTGCTCCTATTTTGTGACTTAGACAGGTTTTATTACTTCTCTGAGCCTCGATTTCTTTCTCTATGAAAATGGATAACATCCTAAATATCTACAGGATTTTCCTTAACTAAAGCAAGACAAGGTTTATAAAAAGTACCCAACACAGAACCTGGCATGTAGTAAGGACTCAGTAAATAGAACTATTATTATTCATGCTACCCAACAATTTCTTAGAGCAGGACAAGAAACTATCCAAGAGAAAGTAGAGGGAAGAAAGCTGCTTACTTGCTTGAGAGCTGTAAAAAAGAACTGAGTTTAGAATGTTTTGAGTAAGTAAGTAAAACAAGTGCCTGCTCTCATTAATTGGTAATTGCATTTAATTTGGGGGTCAGAATTACTGTGAGAATTATGTTGAAATAACCCCTCTCCCTTAGGAATACCTTATTTCTGTTCTGTGGCAAGCTGTACACATGCAATGAGAAGTCAGTGAACCAGGCACTGCAGTTTCCTGGGTGGACAACTTTGGGCGAGCACTTCTCTCTGAACTTCACTCATAGAGATGATTCCTATGTCTTAAGGCATTGTGAGCAGAAATTCCAGTTGCTAGTTGATGATCTATAAATAAAAGTTTATTTTAAAACTGCTACCTTCTATTTTAGTGGCCAGTGGTTTGAAGGACGTTGCTTGTCCCTTTTGGAAAGTCCCTGAATGTCTCCCCTCATGGGCTTTCTTATGATTTAAAATTGAAGAAGATAGGATGAACTCTGTGACTGGGCAAGTCACTTCACCTTGTTGTACTTAAGTTTCTTCAACTCTTGGGGTGGCTGAGTAGTTCAAGTGAGATTACAGCACCTATCCCCAACAAAAGTTACTGAGCCCAAAATATCAACAGTGCCAAGGTTCAGAAATGCTAAATGAATACCTTGTTTAGAGATCAGACTTGCTTAGATTGGGACACCTTAATATAGGTTTAAAATATGTTTCCCAGCCTAACTATGATCAAAAAGTAAAATCCAATAATGTGCTTATTCAGAGAACTCTGAGCATCTACTGTGTGCCAGACTGCAGCAGGGTACAAGGAATAGGAAATAAAATGTGAGTCAAATAGTCCACACCTGAATTTTGCACTTGAGTTCACAGAAAAGTCTTCTAAGCTGTGACACTGTGAGTTTAGGGTGTTAGCAAGCCATATTACAGAGGTCTACTTAGCTCTCTGGCATTACAAAGGAGGAGTAAGATTCTTCCTGGAATGCAGACATGAAGGGGCTTGATAATTATATGCTCAATTATTTTCTTGAGCAAAAGTCTCCTAAAATGAAAAGCAGCTATTTCAAGTAGGCCTCAAAGGCTAAGCAGACAAGACATCAGGCAGGAAAGAAAGGAAGAACATTCTAGACAACGGGAATAGTTCAAGCAAAATAAGCAATAGAGAATAAAGTGGGGTATGATGAGTAGAGACTGGGACAAAATAGGTGGAACAAAATCCAAAAAGGCAGTTTGGGGGTTAATAAGTGAAGGGGGTCTTAAATGCCCAGTGTACTATGGGCACTGGGGAACCACTGAAGATTTTCTGGCCGGGCAGTGGCATGATCAGACCTGTGTTCTTTCTCTCAACCAGAAGAGCAGCAGAAGCAAAGACAAGAACCAGTGCTGCCCCATCTGTAACATGACCTTTTCCTCCCCTGTTGTGGCCCAGTCGCACTACCTGGGGAAGACCCACGCAAAGAACTTAAAGCTGAAGCAGCAATCCACTAAGGTGGAAGGTACTGGTTTTCCTGAGTAGTGCTATATTGGGACCCTTCCTGTCCTTAGGGCATTATTGCCAGGTGCTCCCAGAAATGTTCACTGGGACCACAGAGAGGTTGAACAGCTTTTGAGAGCTCTTATAAATATAAAAAGTAGACTCCCACTTCATTGAAATGCAGCCTCAGAGTTATGCTCACCTAACCTCCCTTTCTTTGGTTCCACCAGTGTTTCCTCAGTAGAAAATTCTTAGCCTGGACTTTTGTCCTGACCAAAAACTGCAACTCAGAAACGCCAAAGTTCTCCAAGACACACTTACACACACACACTGTGAGAGTGTTCTGTCTCCTGCTTTTCTCACTTAGTTTTTTCCCTCCCACTATCCACTTGCTCTTATTACCTTGTTCCAAGTTGAAAGCTAAGTCCATGTCCTTTTCTCATGCTCAGGTTTTGCCCTACTCACTTTAATCCTCAAAAGCTGCCTGTTCTCTACACAAGGACTTGCCTTTCAAAGCAGAATACTTCAGTGCCAACACTACTGCCCAGCAAGCTGTTTGCAGCTGCCATGGATTTGTTCCCAGTGCAGTGACTTCTAAAATAGCCTCTTTTATCTTGTCACCACTGGAGCTCACCCCTTGCTTTCATCTCATTAACTTCTGGTTTGCTGGAGTTTTTAACCTCTGCTAACTGCAGTTAGTTAAGAGGGAAAGTTCTTTGATCTTTGTTTCATTTTTTTCTTGTGAATTTTTGCTTCTGTATTTTGTGCCACAAAGTAGGCTACACTATTTGTACTATTTGTTTTACTGTGTTATGAAAACAAGACAATAATATTTGGAAGTTTTGAAGATAGGGTGAAAACGCACTCATAATCATAACTTCTTATCACACCTAAATCTAGTTACTCAATGTATGAAACAATGAAATATGGCCTTTGAAGTCATAGATACCCAGGTTTAAAACCTGGTGCTGCTGTTTATCATTTGTATAACTTCTTTGTGTCTGAGTTTCCTCACCTGTAAAATGTTAATGCTGTCTACTTCATAGATGTGAGGTTAAAATAATGTATGTTAAAAACCTAGGACATAATAGATGCTCAGTAAATGATCATTGTTGTCACCATTAAAATACCCAGTGGGTAGAATTCCCTCATAAAATGCAATAGTTGATCCAGTATCCACCACTGGGAACATGCCATTGGCCTTGCTTACGATTAATTAATCATTGACTTGTACTGATTACTTCTGCTTAAAACCAGTATTGGTACAAATCATGATGCCACAATGTTTAAGCATTAGGCCAAAGGATACTAGCTTAAGAACTGAACTTTATCAAGCCATGTTTATCTTTCCACAAATGGGAAAATTCTCAGGAAAAAATCTTATCCCAAAACTTCCACACTAAAGAGTCTATTTTCCATATTTACTTTTAGCCTTTGTCACTTGAAGATAATGTTTTTACATAGTTGTCATCATAGTCCATGAATCACTTGTATTGTTTTCACTTTTCATTCGATTTTTGTAATTTAAGCACTTTTCCATGTAATCATGTACATGTTTATAACTTCTTGAAATTAAACATTTTTGTAATGTATAAGTAATATATGCATGTTGTAAAAAACATGGAAAATATAGATAAATAGAAAAATTATCATAATTTTACCCTTGAGCAATAACCACTGTTAACATTTTGGAGTACTGTTTCTCCTAAAAACTTTTTTTGTTATGTATGTGTTTATGTGTGTTTATCTGTTTGTATATTTGCTATGTGTATATTTAGGTTAATTGCATATATAGGCGCATATAAGCATAGAATACCTTAAAAACTTTGTTTTTTTAAAAAACGACACACATTCATTATGAATAATTCCAATTCAAACAGTGTAAAAGTACAAAAAATAAAATAACACCAAAATCCTACCACCAAGAGAACTACTCTTAATATGTGGATGACATTTCAAAATGCCAGTATATGTAGATAGATGGCAGTTATTTTTAATAGTGACATGACCATATTGTATGTATATTTCTCATTTATATTTTTAATTTAATATAACATTTATATTTCCCTGTGTAATTAAAAACTTTTTTTGTAAACATTTAGAGTGACTACATTATAACCACATTTAACCATTCCCCTAATGTTAAACATTTGAGTTTTCCTCTTCCGTTTTCCTGGTATTATAACTAACACTACAGTGGACATCCCTGTAGAATATTCTTTCCATATGTCCCTTGCACATGCTAGGCAAGCATTCTACTACTAAGCTATATCCCCAGCACTTTTTATTTTTTTATTTTGAGACAAGGTCTCACTAAGTTGCCCAGGCTGGCCTCAAACTTACATTCCTCCTTTGTCAGCCTCCTGATTAGCTGGAATTATAGGCTTCCAGCACTGCCTCCAGTTCAATGACCTTTATCTCTTAATGACCATTATTATCTCTTTTCTGATGTCAAAAAATCTACATTCATTGTAGAAGAATTGGAAAATATGGAAAAATACTTTTTGATTTTGTTTTCATACAGTCACTTACCTATGGTTTTTGCTGTTTTAGAAAATTGAGGACACAAGAAACAAATTGCTTTATAACCTGCCTTTTTCTCCCATTCATCACCACAAACAATATTTTCTTATATTCTACAACACGTAGTTTACTTTTTCCATGGCTTGCTAAAACAAAAATCAATGGCCAGAGAGATTGAGATTCCTTATACTGGAAAACTATTGTGGGAATAGCCAGCAAATTTCTTATGGCTTGAGAAAAACTCCAAAATGGCCCCAGTTGAAGTGGTACAGGGACAGAATAGCATCTGAGCCATCTCATCTACCTGTGAGTGCTGCTGTGCTCTATCCCTTCTCTACCACTGATGGTGGTTCTGGGATCCACATTTTTATAGCAGTGGTTGCTAGGTTAACATTGTTCCCCATCAGTACTTATTAGCGAGTCATGGTATCCACTTTATAAGGCATTAGCACAGCCTGCAGTCAACATCAGGACCCATGCTGACTCACAGGAAGCTCATACTATGCCCATACCAGGCTCTGCTTCACTGAATCACACCCCAGCACAGTCAGGGAAAGCATCAGTTGTAGCCTTCTTGCCACACTCTGGCAGCTGGGCGTGGCAAAGAGAGCTTGGGCTCTAAAGTCACACCGACCTGGGTTCACTCACTAGCTTAGTGATCTTAGGCAAGCCACTTTACCTGAGCCTCAGTTTTTCTCTGTAATTTGGCAAAATAATACAAACATCATTAGGGTGGTTCTGAAGAACAAAGGGAAAAAAATATGTACAAAATGTGTAACTGATGTTCACTGTCTTCTCTCCCTCACTCAGCCTAGAAAGCAGTGTAGCCTAAAAGGCATCACTAGTGTGGTTTCCTGACCTCGTATGAGCTCAGAACCTCAATGTCTACATCAGTGCAGTGGTCCCAGCTCTGTAACTGGGATACTTTTTTTTTTTTTTTTTTTTTTAGCTGTAGATGGACACAATACCTTTATTTTGTTTATTTACTTTTTTATGTGGTGCTGAGGGTAGAACCCATGCCTCACACATGCTAGGTGAGCACTCTACCACTGAGCCACAACCCCAGCCCCTAACTAGGATATTGTGAAGATGCAAATAAAATACCCAAACTTCATACCCACTTGCTAGAAAGTCCAGGAAATTCTGAGGGACGAAAAGATTGCAGTATGCACCTCTAGTTTGTAACAATTAAGCAACTCGATGGCAGAAGTTCAGAGTCTCTTCATGGTATGAGAAAATCAGGACTTGAATGCCTAAAGTTGAAGCTGCTGAACAAATTAACTGCTTCTGGGCTATTCCAGATCTTCCCAGTTTTCCCAATTAGAGAAGGTGTTCATTGTGTGATTCACATAGGCAGTGCCACATCTGCCAGTATGATTAAATAGTGACACTGCCTTTCTTTCTCTTCAGCATATTCGAAAGCTTGGCACTTTCTGGGTTTTTTCATTGTTTCTGTTTGAACTCTTTCACCGCAGCTCTGTCGAAACGCCTTACAAATCCTTTCCTTGTGGCCTCCACCTTAGCCTTGCACCAGAATAGAGAGATGATAGACCCAGACAAGTTCTGCAGCCTTTGTCATGCGACTTTCAACGACCCCACCATGGCTCAACAACATTATGTGGGCAAGAAACACAGGAAACAGGAGACCAAGCTCAAACTCATGGCGCACTATGGGCGGCTAGCGGACCCTGCTGTCACTGACTTATCAGGTGAGAGGGCCCAGCTCCCATTCAGAGCTGGATCAGGTCTTGACCATTGGGGCCAGGTCTGTGCTTCTACTCCTTATGCTTTCTAAAGTAAGATTTGCAAACTTAGATGCCTGTGGAAGTCAGGCTGGAAATTTAAATGAGCGTAAGTGAGAAAGGGATATGGTCAGCTGAAAAGTGCATGCCTCTGCTAGTCAGCTCTAGACTATTCGGTTTTTCAGAAAACTCTGGAAAGCCAGATTTTTATAGGAATTTCTCTTAATTTTTTTATTTTTTAGTGCTGGTGATCAAATCCAGGACCTTGCACATACTAGGCAAGTGTTCTATCACTGAGCTATGTCCCCTGCCCAAATTTCTCTGAGTTTTAAATGTGGGACTAAATTTTAAAAATTTTAAACCCTGTGTGAGTAAAACCCAGTGTGCAAACCAGATTTGAGCCAAGGGCCACCAGTTTATAACCTCTGATTTAAACTCTCTTGCAAGTTTTGAGCTATATCTCAAAAATTGACTACTGTGTATAAGGCCCTGCAGTCAATCTTCAGTACTGAAAAACAAAAAACTCCCCAAGTGTCGTCCACATATGTAGGTCTCAGTAGCCTGTGCTGCCGGATTTTGAGTGTCCTCATCATACTGCTTTCCTAGGAGCAGGGGCCTGTCAAAAATATCCTTGGGATAGTGTAGTTAAGGAGACCGTTCTGGCTCAGAGAATATTTTCTACTTCCTTAACCTCAAGGTTTCAATCAAGCCTGTAATCTCAGTTGCTTGGGTAGCTGAGGTGGGAGGATCACAAGTTAAAAGCCAGCTTCAGCAACTTAGCAAGACCCTGTCTCAAAATACAAATAATGCTGGTGATGTTGCTCAGTGGTTAAGGGCCCCTGGGTTCAGTCCCCAGTACCACCATCCCTTCCTCCACCAAAAAAAAGATTTTAATCAATATCACTAGAGTGGGAATTCATAAACAATTAGGGGGTCCCTCCCATTATAGTAACTACTCACAGCCTATAATAAATGTGTGTGTGTGTGTGTGTGTGTATGTGTATGTGTATTAAGGAAATGTTATTATTGTCTCTTTCATTGAGTCAGGAAATATTGTTGAGTGCCTACTGTGTTCCCTTATTGAAGAGTAGTAGTAGAGCCTACATGACCATTGGTGTTGGTCCTCATTGTTCCCTCAGGGTAAGTGAATGCTAGGAGGGAAAAATCTAAGTGGAAGAGGTAGAAGATAAAGTATTCTCATGTTGACCTGGCAAACTTTGGCAAGCCATGGAGGTACAAGTCAACACTTGAGACCTTCTCAGTATCTAGATGTGGAACAGCTGGGCTTCAGAGAGCTTGCTGCTTAGAATCATCTGTTCTCTTCCCATAATCATAGGGAGGGTGAACAACCCAGTGCCATAGATGTTCCAGATCACATATGGGCACAAGGTGGGAGGGATCATGCTTCTTTAACAACCGTCCAAACACCAAAGGCAGCCATACATATAGGCCGTTCCTGAGCCTTGCTGACATGAATGAAACAGGTGCAAAGCAATGATCAGGAAGCAGGGGGAGAAAACTATGGGCCAGGTCCTTTATCTGGCTGCCAGGGATTGTTCATCCAGTACCTGCTGCATAAATTACTTCAAGATAGGGAAGGGGTATCTGGTATTTACTTACTGTTCCCTCATACAGGGTCATTCCCATATGCTAAGGATTCTTTAAATTTAAGAACCAAGAAGCTCAGAGCCTCCCTTCTTGATGGCCTCCTTTTTGGCCTGCAATTAATACATATAACATTATGTCCAATTGGCCTGACCCAAGATTCCCTTGCAGCAGACCTTTCTTCCTTCACTCCAAGTCTGACTCCTTCCATAGTCCTCCCAACTCTCGTCTTTCTTTCTTTTTTTTTTTTTGTTCATTAGCAGGACTGAATCATTGCAGTGTTTAGCTGCTTATTTTAATTTGTGTCCATTCTGCTCTTCTGTCTCAGACCAAAGCCGCCTCCTTATCTCTATCTTCCCCCTCCATTTTTCAGAGGCTAAATTACTTAATCCTAGAATCACTAGCTTTGGGTTTTTGGTTTGTTATTTTGCTTGAGGCATCTGAGTACTTTACAGATTAGCCCAGATCTTTTCTGAAAACCTAAGCAGAGGACAGGTGTGCTGGCAAACGCCTGTAATCTCAGCTACTCGGGGAGGCTGAGGCAGGAGGATCACAAGTTCAAGGTCAGCCTCAGCAACTTAATATGACCCTGTCTCAAAAAGAGTTAGGGATATAACTCAGTGGTAGAGTGCCCCTAGGTTCAATCTCCAGTACCACAAAAAAGAAAAAAAAAAAAAAAAAAAAAAAAAAACATAATCAGGGAGGTAGCAAGGTTGGAAGTTTGATTTCCATCACTCTTAGAGAGAAAAGATCTGGGACCCACTGATTCCATCTTCTTGTTCCCAATGTCATGTTTTTTGTAGAGACACTTTTTGTCAGTCATGAATACAACATGTGGTAGATAGGTCACTGTTCCCTCCCCATGCTGCGTTGGTACCCCAGACTTTGAGCTGTTGAGTACAGGAAAAATGGACTTCAAAGTTGAAATCTCATACATGTAATTAAGGTCTGCAGAGCACAAACAGAATGCTGCCCAGGTGTAATTTGTTTCAGACAATGGAACTGTGGCTCAGATGTTTACACTGATAACCAGGTTTACCCACCTCAGCAACTGGTATACATGGCATACAGTGCCTCCTACACTTCATGGATGGTCTGGAGCACATTTTGATATATATGCACCTTGTGAAAGCCATGTGGACTCTGATTAAAGACTCGGGTAACTTGTATCTAACATTCTACTAAGCCTTATTATTGGTGCATAACCAGGTGCTGCCAGTCTTCTGGCAACCCTGCAGAACATTACAGATAGGAGGCAAAAAAAAAAGGACAAGCATAGAGAAGAAGATAGTGAAGACATGTAATGACAAATATTCTTCAGTGAGCCCAGTGCATTTTCCCTTGTATCCAATCCCTAACCAGTTCTTGTTCACTTGACCCAGGGTAAATCTTCCCATAGTCCTCTACAAAGACAGATTCCTTCCCATGGTCCTCTACAAAGACAGGTTCTTTGGGGGAGTGCTCGCCAAAAGGCATATTCCTAAGCATACCATGTGGAAGGACCCCTTGTCAATGGGCCTAAGCAGAAAGATTGCAATATCCTCTAAAATTTCCTTTTCTTTTTTCTTTTTTTGGTACTAAGGATTGAACCCAGGGGTGCTTAACCACTAATCCACATCCCCAGCCCTTTTAAAAATATTTTTTATTTAGAGACAGGGTCTTGCTGAGTTGCTTAGGGCCTTGCTAAATTGCTGAGACTGGCTTTGAACTCAAAATCATCCTGCCTCAGCCTCCCAAGCCACTGGGATGGGGTGTGCACTACCACACCTGGCTAAAAGTTCCTCTTGATAAAGGGGTTGGAAAAGGTAGGGATTTGGTTGAAGACTTATGATTCAAGTTGTTTGATGAGGACCTTTGTAATGGATGATGTTTGTTCATCCTAGAATCACCTGGAGCCAAGCCTGATAGTTGAACAGGTAAGGCCACCATGTAATTATACAGTGACAAAGAGCATGGAGCCTGGGGATGAAGGTGTAACTCAGGGGTAGACAGGTTGCTTATTATACACAAGGTCTTGGGTTCAATCTCCAGCCCCACCAAAAAAAAAAAAAAAAAAAATATGAAGGAAAGAAAAGCAATTCTGGAACCTAAGGAGAAACTGAAGGCTTGGTGTGCTGTATCCTATGCTGAGTTTGTGAATCAAAAAACTTCATGACATTTTTGAGGGGGAAAAAATGTTCTAAGAAAGCAAGAAAAGAATTAGTCCTGCTGTGAATGGAACTGCTGATTTATAAACTGAGATGAGTTGCAATGGCATCTCATGACAAGAAACTAGATGTGTTTAGCAGAGCAAGAAACTGAAGAAAGCCCAGGTCAACATCCAGGGTGTCCTCTAAAGTTTATCCAAACCCTATCCCAAGGCCTCAGCTTCTATATGAAACCAGTCTTCTTTAGAACACACGTCAGAAACACCCTGTACCTGTAGCCGCAGTACAAAGAGAGCATAGCATGGTGCTCATCCAGAGCACTGCAACAGCTAGTGACATGTACAGGCCAAATGTATCCAAAACAGACCTCTCAGCATTTGTCTATTTGGAGTCTTTCCAGCCTATTGAATCTTTTTTTTTTTTTTTTTAAATATTTATTTATTTATCTTTTTTTTTAGTTATCGGTGGACACCACATCTTTGTTTGTATGTGGTGCTGAGGATCGAACCTGGACCGCACGCATGCCAGGCGAGCGCGCTACCGCTTGAGCCACATCCCCAGCCCCCTCCAGCCTATTGAATCTTTGCAATGTGGGAAAGCCATCAGTGAAAAGGATAACCTCAACCAGTGTCCATGAAAAGGTCAATCTGGATCACCAACAATGACATTTCCATAGATGGGAGAATTGCCCATTGACCTGTGATCTCTATAACAGTCTTCAGCACCAGTGCTTTCTTGGAAAGCCACATGAGGTTCCATTCAGATGAGAAAACTTGCTCTTGCATTTTTTTTGCCCAGAATCCTTTGACCCCTTTGATTTGTTAAAAGATCATGTGACCATTCATATCAATTATAGCTGCCTTACCTGCCCAATTTATAAGAAACAATTCTCAGATTTCAGCCACATGAAAAAGCAGACGCACTGCTTCCACTGAGAAAATATTTACCAGTACACAGAGTGTGACAAAACCTCCTGTCACCCCAGTGAACTGCAGCTCCATATGCTCCAGCGTTTAAACCACATGCATCCTGTGTACTCCCTGTGGGAAGCAATTTAACCAGAAAAGACAAACTATGGAAACACATGCAAAGGATGCATAATCCTGAGAAGGAAGCCAAGAAAGCCAGTCACAGCAGCTCCCAAATGTTCACACCTCCCATCACATCCATAGATTATGACAGCTTCATGTTCAAATGCCACCTGTGGGTGACAGG